AACTGTGCATTTTATCGCAGATGAGTAGCAGCAGCTTCTCGTGCTCCAAACAAGAGCGCTGAATGAGAGCCTTGTTGACTTGCCACATCACTTCCATTTGTTTTATTAATAAAAGATATTGGAAGTAAATTAATTATGGATCATTACAAATACTTTGTTTTAAAAGTACCAAGTCACTTTAAATAACAATAACACCGAGTCACTTAGTCACTTTAAAATGTATATTCTCTCTTTATTCTGTGTATATTTTGTGTATATTCTGTATATATTTTGTGTATATTTAATATATTTCAGTAGGTTTTTCTTGTGTTTTTATTTTTACTTATTTACTTTCTATAGAGTGATTACCTGAGCCTCACCACAAGCATTTCAATGCATAAATGTCCTGACATGTTGTGCAAATGACAAATAAACTTGAAACTTGAACTCAAAACTTGAGCTCACACAGTGAGAAAATATAAATGCTATATAGAAAAAAAGATGCAACGATAATCGTTTTATAATCACATCGCAGCCCTCTGAATCGTAATCGAATCGTGAGGTGCCTAGAGATTCCCACCCTTATTGTATACTATCCATTGTGGAACAATATCTAATTATTAACACTGCAGAAAAATATTAATATACACTTTTATGGGACCTAAGAAGAATATACTTGATTTATAATATTTATATTGTCGTGGAATTGTGGTATATATCCACATTTTCCCTTTCAAAAGAAAAACTGAACAAAAAAAGGTCAATGCACCCTATGAATGGGATGAGAAAGGAGGCATAAACTAACACAGGGTTGAATGAAACATGGATATTTAATGTACACTGTAAAAAATGTCTGTGAAATTGTTGAAAAAAGTGTGGGGAAATACTGTTAAATAGCAACAGTAAAAAAAAAAGCTGTAATTAAAAAAATGGGAATTTATAGTTTCTAAAAGACCTTAAATAGTAATACAAAACAATCTTGTGATTTTTACAGTAATGATTGGGAAATCTATATAAATTGTGCTCTATTCAAAAACTATCTACCTTCCAAAGTGATGTTAAAACACTGTCATGCGTTGAACAAACATTTACCATCAGGCTTACATGCCCAAACTGGTGAAAATTCCGTTATACAGTGTACAGCAATACTGTTGTTTTATACAGTATATCTCTGGCAACGACAGCTGCCAGTGGTTACTGCAAATTTCACAGAAAAATATTGTTTAGTAAACAGCAATAGCACATCATTTATAGCATACTGTAAAAGAAAAAAATGTCTAGCCCATTCCTTTTACAGCAAAAATCTGTACTTTCGATCTAAGGTAGTGTCTTTATTTTTATTGTACTACTGTAAATTAATAATTGTTTTTTTACCAAAAATATACAGGCAGGAAACAATTTTACCATACTGCAATAAATATTTCTTCCGTATATTTTACAGTAAAGTTTTGGCAACCACAGCTGCCTGGTTTTTGCTGTAAATGTAACTTTTTTACAGTGTAGTTAAACAGGCTCATGTAGAATGCACATTTAATCATTTTTGCGGCTCCCCATAGCAACATCATCTGTGAATTTTGTGCCATAAAAGTAACTTCTTTCATCATAAATGCATTTTTCATTTGCTGATATGTGTGTAAGTCACAAAATTCATACCAATATTGTTTTAATCACTCTCTTAGTGGCTGTAATATAGTACAACTCACAGTAAGAGCTACCCAAGCTAAACTGCAGTCTTACAACTAAGCCTCCCAGGTCTATGTGTTCCCCATATAAATTCAAAACAGTTAATTTTTGGATGTTTTTACGCAGATATTAATCAAAAACAAGCTTGACTGTCTAATATAAGATGGAATTATAATATCCATAATAACTGAAAGAGGCCTCTCCATGTTTTCTGTATTTTATGGAAGGTATTTGCAGAAGGCCAGTGTCTGCAGATCTAAGCATATCTAAAAGACTATAAAGTCACATAAAAATATACTTCACTTTCAATTTCAATCATATTTATTTTGATGAGTTTATTTTTTTTGATCAATATTTTATTAACAAGTAAAAAAAAAAACAAAAAAACATGAGAACTATGTTCAAAAAGCCCAGGACATGCCCACAGAGCTTCCCACAACAAACATAGTACGGAGACAACAATCATCGCTAGACATCAAAGTAGCAACACCGACGACGACTGCAGTGATGGTCAGTGGCAGAACCATACAAGAGGAAAAGACATACACACCAAAGCAAAAGACATAAACAAATTAATACCTAAATAGATAAATGAATAAACTTAGTATACTGAAGTTTACACCCTCATATCAGTTAGAAAAGGTTACTTTGCTCTCATTACTTTTAACAGCTCTTTCTCAGTATTTGACCAGGACACAATTGTTCTTATTTTGGCCTTATTTATCCTGGCTGTTGTACATTCCAAAAGAGCGATGTCCCGAAAATAAGTAAGCCAAACAAGATGCATAGGAATGGAGGGTTCAAACCATATTTTCAGTATTCTCTTTTTGGCTGAGTAGAAAACAATTCTGCAGAGTCATCAAGTAGGAGGAAAGTCCAGGGATCTTTGTGTACAGATTTCCCTAAAATATTAGAGAGAGTATTTTGAACATATGACCAAAAGACATCCACGCTAGGACATGCCCAAAACATATGCATATATGTACCGACTATTGCTGAGTTACACAATTGACAATAAGGATCTTGTCTAACTGTACATTTATACAGCAGATTAGGAGTGACATATGATGAGTTTATTTTTTTATGTTTTAAGCTGAAAAGCTTGCCTGATTCAAACAACTTCAAACTGAACTGTGTTCACCAGACTTTTTAGTGACTTGGCCCCTTCATCTGTCCCAATGAGGTCACTATGGAGTTAGGACGCACTCACTCTACTTTTGGCTGAAAAGTTCATAAACGGTAGATGCTGGAAACATAGTTAATATTTTGGTTTGTAGCAGAGATGTGTAGGTTTACTGTGTGAAAAACATTAATCTTCCTTCCAAAGTCACATACAGGAAGAGAGAAAAAGACCATAAAATAGAGAGAGAAAAACAGAATCTTTCCTGGTTTGAGAGAGTTAAGCTTGTTTTTCTCGGTTCTGCGTTGCGTAAATGCCACTGATAGTTGACCACAGGTCAAGGTCTGAGCAGCAGAGTGACTGCCAAGCAGGTTAAACAAGCCTCAGCCAATAAACACTGTTCACAGAATTCACCGAATACACCTTTCAAAACTGGGCCAAATGATGGAATATTGTGTAAATATGTCACTTAAAATAATGTATTAGTGTTGTAAAATGTCCCAGTGCAGCCGTTTCTCTGCTAAAATGAAATTAAATCTGCATTTAGTTGCACCATCATGTGGTTTTACTGTTCATATAATCGCAGTGCACTTACAACACAGCTGCTGGACCTTGTTCATAAAGTGGTTCAAAACATTGGTCAGTGTCCACTAATGTTCTACCATTATGAAACATTTTACATGTGCGTAGAAGGATGAATAGAGCTGTAGATGATTATAAAATGACTGAGATGTAACACTGTGTATAACACTGAAAATGAAGTTACAATGAAAGGAACATTGAGAATGACTGAATGTGAATAAATGATTACAACATGTTATGCATCATTTAGTAACTTTTTTTAATAAGTTCATGTTCCAAAATTGAACTCATGAATAAAACAACTTGAAACACCTCCTGGTACCTAGCTTATAGTATTTCAGTCTACACTGTATAAGTTGTAAAAGTTGAATAAAATAGCAGCAATTATTAATATGACTAGTATTTCCAAAACCAATGCTGATACTACTTCCCAGAATTAGCGTCCAGTATTGTAATGGTTCCATTCTTGCCTTACAGCAACATAACTTTCTTGCACCTGTTAAAACAAAATTATAACCTGTTAATTCTGTTTTGTTCATATAAAATGCTTTCCTCTCATTCTCATGAATGCAGTGCTACAGCAAACACCATGATTACGCTGGTTTTTCATCCACAAACTGTGCCAGAGGTAAAAAGTTGTGAGCCAAACTTGTCTGGTAGGTTTCATTGCTCGACAAGCCTAAGAACCACCTACTAACAGGAATGATCTGTTTGATTTACATACAAAATAACCAACCACAGAGCATTGTTTTTGTGTTTCTAAAGTGGAACCGACGAAACCCCTTGCCCCAGAAGTTCATACTTTCTATGTCCTTGTGTGTGCAGTTTGTGTGATTTGCGGTTCGTATTCCAATTTCTCAAACATGAAAAGCAAGACCAAACTAAACGCACACTTTCCCAATCATTGCATCAAAGCAATATTCAGCTAAGCATATAGGCCTGTCCTGCAGTTCAACATGTTGGTGATGATTTAACACACTTATCACACATCATATACACTATGCACTTGTGGTCTTAGAGAGTGCAATTGCACAATTTTGCTAAATTTGGACAGTAGTTGTGTGCTTAATCAAAACCACAAACCACAAGTGTGGACTTTGGGACAAAGTCCGTGCAGTTTTCACCAGCCTAACATGCCATAGAGACTAAGTTGAGGGCTACACAGAACAAAAAAGCACAATGATAACCAGTAAGAGATTCAAATGAGTGTTTCTGTTCTGGAACAGTTTACATTTTTGTTTTTTTTTTCCCTAGCAAAATACCATTGCTTTCCATTTATCATTTTAGTTCCTCAAACAGATTCAGAGCTATTTTGTTTACAGTGTTATTTGGTGTTTCTTTCTATTCAAAAATGCTTTATAAAAGTTAGAAGTCAACTTTGACTGTGTCATAACAGTGGAAACACTGTCAATGAGGTGCAAACAGTGGACAGGCACTGAGGTCAGCTGTGGCCAGCGGCCGCTCAATACTCATTCATGTGTTGGCAGTTGTCCAGATTCAGTTAAAGTGTTTTCAGTGTTTGTTTAAATTAAAATATTCTATTGAGTCTGTTAAGAGAGTTGTCAGTGCATTAGTTGGTACATTTTTATTTTACTCTTACAAATGTTAATCAATGATTGCTCCAGTAAAGCACACTAAACAAACAATGTGGGGGACGACTTTTTGAAGCGATCAATATGCTGAGCACATCACTGTCCCAGACTGACCATACTGAGAGAGCTCAATAACCCAGCACACAGCACACAGTCAGAGAAAGCTGGCACATGAGCGTCCCAACATGAAAGCAGTCTTATTGCTTTTACTTGGATTAGCGACAGCGTTTGCTGCAGAGGGTAAGTGGCGCAAGCAGGAATTTGGTGCACTTTTAGCAAAAGGACCATTCTGCATGCATGAACTATGTTAAATAAATGTTTATTAACCTGAAATCTGTGGTACCTGATCTGTGGCAGACATTCATTTACCATAGATGTTAATTTTCATATACGGAAGGAGAAAACCCATTGACTCGAGGCACACTTACAGTTTAAGCCAATGCTGACACTGAGTCAACAGGTTCACTATTCTTTTACTAAGTACTAGGAAGATGAATCAAAATGATTGTTTATTGTAAACCACCATATACTACAGCTACAGATATGGCAGAAGGGGATTAGGTTGAGAAATGCTGGAATATTGAAGACTTTATGATTTAGAATGGAGTATTTCAAAATTGTGAAACTTTTATAGAACCAGACTAAGATTCTACATCAAGGCTCTATGGAATGTGTGCCGGATAAAACAACCTAAAAGTATATTTGAAGAACCTTTCATAGTTGTAGAAAGTAGTGAGGATGATGTCAGGGTTAAAAGCATCATACTGATAACCAGTGGGTTAGTTCTCTGAGAAAATGGGACACAAAAAAATGACTTTTGACTGCTGGACAGTTGCAGTCATTAACTCTTTACTGCATTCATCCATTGAGTTTTGCTAAAAGGCCCTTAATTTAAAGCTAGTAACAAAGATTTCAGATGGAAAGAGAGGCCTACTACCAGGCTCTACAAAAACCTTTTAATCTTGAGGGGGAAAAAAGCAGCAATTTCTGCCGTTAAATGTGCTCTTCTCATTTAATCACATGAGATTTCAACCCTGTTGTTGCATCTATTTTAACGTGTAAAAAACATGATCTGCTAAAGCTGAAAAGCATCAATTACTTTTGTGCTACACAGGATTTTGAACAAGAAATATGTTTCAAAATTCAGTTGTCTTTTATGGTTTTCACTCTGATTAACCCAATCAATAGTAAACCCTTATTGATGTGAACTACATGCTGAATGTGTGCTTATTTAGAAAGAGTCACAGTGCATGCAACAATAAAGGCAGCATGGTGCTTCTTTCATACAGTGAAAGAAAACACTATATCACACAACAAGCTCTACAAGCAGGTCAATTTTACTATACTTATCATGTACATGTGGTAATTTTACAGGTTTGGATGTGTAAATAAAAGGGACAAAGCTTCTTTAGGGAACAAGCAGTGGTTCTTCTTTGGCATCAATAGAAACAATCCTTTTTTAACACCTGGAATATGTTTACTTGGGGCTTTTTGGATCTGTTGTTACCATTAAAATGTGCTTTTCTGCTGCTGCTCAGAAACATGTGCTGGACGTTGTCAGAATGGCTTCGATCCTACAAAGAAATGTCAGTGTGACACCATGTGCAAGTACTACGGAAGCTGCTGTCCAGATTTTGAGACAACGTGCAAATCTAAAAGTAAGTACTGTATATCTAAGAGCTACTCAATGGTTTATTAGCTACAGCCTTTACCAAAAGAAAGAGACTGCCGGCATAAAATGAACATACATTTAATCCCCAGTTGCCCGAGGAGATGTTTTTGACTTTGCTGAAGAAGATCTGAACACTACAGCGATCTCAACTGCAGTGATGAATACAACAACAGCCGCTCCCACTCCCACCCCTGCCTCCACCGTATCTCCTGACCCAGAGGCAGTCACCTGCAGTGGACGCTCGTTTGATGCTTTCCTGCAGCTAAAGAATGGATCCATTTATGCTTTTAGAGGTGACCTTACTGACTAGGATTAGACCCTTGCTCTGTCTCTCTGTCACCACTCCACAGTACTAAGCCTATTACTTCACGTAAAACCATGCTCTTAAATGTGTGTCCTAGGTGATTACTTCTTTGAGATGGATGAGCGGTCAGTGATGCCAGGCTATCCCAAACTCATCAAGGATGTGTGGGGCATCTCTGGTCCCATCGATGCCGCTTTTACCCGAATCAACTGCCAGGGAAAGACTTACATATTCAAGGTATAAAGGGTGCAGCTACAGGAACAGTCATGCTCTTGCAAATAAAACAAAATATATTAAGTTGGCTTGACAAACTGATGCTTTTTTGGTACTGTTTTTATAGTTTTTAAACTGTTATAGAACAGGTTGTGGAGTCTATACGGAAATATTGTGCTTTTGCTTTTGAGATTGATCGCATGTACAGTTTTTGGACAGCGTTCATTTAAACATGATTTCTTTTCCCCCATATGTAATGTATGGCAGAATGTTGAGAAAATTCAATTACATATATATAAACATACTAGCGACCACCTGGGATACCATAGCAACAGCTTTGTCAAGCCAAATTATGTAACTCTCATGGATTCTTTTCATGGATTTTCTGGCATGAAAATACTGTTGAAATAAATTAAATAAGCTTTATTAATTAGATGATCACCTGCTGAACCTTCCAATTTTTGAACAAATATCCTTTCTAAAGAATTGTCTGGTTCACTGGTTCTCAACTTTAGTCCTGCAGCGCCCACTGACCCAACTCACGAAGGGCTTCAGGATTAACTGATGAGCTGGGTCAGGTGTGTTGGAGCAGAGATGACCTGAAACTGCTTAAGGATGTGGGTTTCTGTGACTGGAGTTGAGAATCAATAGTTTAGAGAACGCTGTATGGTTCTTCACAGATATGCACCTTCAAAGCACTAAAATACATTTAGGAACATTTCTATTAAACGGAGAATTGCAAAGCCTTCTTCCGCTGCTTTAATGATCATGTTTTATAAATGTATTAACCACTTCTGTGCATGACACCATTCAGGGTAACAAGTACTGGCGTTTTGATAAAGACGTCCTGGATGACGATTACCCCAGAGACATCTCGGTGGGGTTTGAGAAGATTCCAGATGATGTCGATGCTGCATTTGCCATTCCTTCCCCAGGCCACCACGGAAAGGAGAAAGTGTATTTCTTTAAAGGTGTGTGGACGAAGGACAGCACATTTAAATTATTTGAAGACGCTACATCCTGGAAACCGAAATTTCTGTACTTCTTCAAAATAAAAGTTGCATGTACTATGTGAATACTGTTAAAGTACCACTCCCTCTCCGTGCATAGAATGTGTTTGACCTTGTTTTGAATTTTGAATTCAACATGGCCATAATGTGACCGCCCATTCATCCTACAGCAGTTTAGCCTGCTTGTTCACATTGCAGTGAAAAGTAGTGTTGTTAGTGCAAACTGAGAGCCTGCTACCTTCACTATGCTTACAGGTGACCAGTATTACCAGTATGAATTCAAGCACCAGCCATCACATGAAGAATGTGTCGAAATGACCAAGTCGTCCCCCTCCGTTCTCTTCACACGCTACACTAACCTGTACTGTGACCACGACTGGGACAGTCTGTTCACGTTGCTCTTCCAAGGCTGTAAGTGTGTGCATAACATAAGACAAAGCATCAGACAAAGCTTATGGTGGGACTTCACAATATATTATGTTATCAGGAGCTTGATAATCCAAAAAAGAAATAGTTTTGGTCAAAATAAGCCAGGCTAACATCTCGGCCACTTCTGTCCTTTCTTTCTCACTCCAGTAGATGGACATCACAAAGGCCCCCGCTTTATTGCCAAAGACTGGGTGGGCATCAAGCCTCCGATAGATGCAGCAATGGTGGGCAGGCTGTATGAGAGCTCCAAACCCTCTACCTCAGCAACGCCCTCCACAGATGCAGTCGTAGTTCCCAGCAGGAGGCGACCCTCCCGCAGGAGAAAACAAAAGGGCAAAGGATCCAGGATCCAGAGTCGCTCACTTTTCTGGGAAGATTTCGGCTTGGATTATGAAGAGAGGTATAATCTGGTCTCAGTCAGAATCATATTTTGTTTTAGCTTTTATCAAAGCAGCACAATGTAGGTTTGGGGAAATATGTAGCTGCTTAAGAACCTTTTGGTCAACAAAGAAGATGTTATCCACTATGCTATCACTTCACTGTCATTCATCATTCAACCAGAAGACTGTGGGTTCAAATCCCAGGACTGCCTGGGTATTCCTGGTTGTGTCTTTAGGCAAAACACTTAACCCACCACTGCCTGCCAATGCTGTTTTGTTCCCAGATGGAACATAGAACATAGCATAAAGAGAAATCTTCCTTGTAGAGTCAACAAGGGAGCACAGGGACACATTAGCATGCTTTTTTTTTAAGGCTAGATTTAGGGTAAGGGTTTAGGGAAAAGGTCCTTTTCTACAAAAATATGTATTTGTTTTCCCAATAATGATAGACGTCTGGATCTGACATAACATTGCCTCTCAATCATACTTACTCATGGTTCTCTATAAGATGGTATAAATTATAGTTCATAAAAAATGTCATATTGAGGTAACAACTGTAATGACACAACATACACAGATTCCTTATTGACAGTCAAATTAACAATAAGTGACAATGACAAGTAAACCTTTAAGTGGAAACAAGTGTACGTTTATTTTGGGAAGGTATTTCGGCGCAGAAAGGCGAGGCAAAGATCAGAGGAAAGGTCGTGGCAGACGTCCATCTCCTGATGACTACAGCTATGACCTCATAGACTACGCTGACCTGGAAATACTGCCGGAGAAGACAATGCCAGTGCAAAATGTCTACTTCTTCAAAAAAGGTACCCACTGCCCACTAACTTACATGGTGACATACTGAGGCAGCTTTTGCCAACCAAGAGATGCCGTTGAAATGTTTTTCAAAAACATCCTGGAGACTTTATTTTCCGTGAAATCAAAAAGTACAATAATACACATAATGTTCTCCTTTTCTTTTCTGTAATTGAGTAAGATGACCTTTGTGAGTATTTGTAGATTATTATTGATGTAATAATTGTTCTCATGTGGATGTCTTACTCCATTTATTTAGATAAATACTACAGAGTGGATCTGCAGACCAAACGGGTCGACTACGCTAACCCTCCTTACCCGAGATCCATCGCCAAGTACTGGCTGGGATGTAAAGAGAAGGATTTAGCAGAGAAAAGATAAAATCTCTACAGAAAATCAAGCTAGTAGACATTGCTTTATTAGCCTTACTTTAATTAAGATTTTGTTTGAACTGACCGTGTAAACACTGACAGTGAAGAACAAATGTTGACCTATTGCTCTCTAACTAATAAACTTGATACTTTGTAATATACAACTGAAAGCAATATTCCAGTATTTCCAAAATCTGCTGCATCCAGTGCTGGGTTGGTACATTTACTCAACTAGATGTATATTTTCAAAGGACAGTTTACTTTTGTACTCAGTTGATTTTAGGGTTTAACATCTAGTTTTTAATTTTTATTTTTTTTCTCTTTAAATTCAACATTCAGTAATGTTGGTCACTCTGTACTGCTTTTTTGTGATCGGTCACACCTGATGGGTGCTGACAATGGATTACTTAGTAGATAATCAGTACTTATGAACTTCTACTCAGTTTATTTTATTTTTTTCTCAAGTCACTACCCACCCCTGCCTGCATCTGTATTGTACTATTAATTAGCACAGAAAGTATTTCCAATGCATGTACAAGAACTCTGAGCTGAAAATGATGAATATTATATAGTATATGCACCTTAGTTGTTTACTGAGCTCATTTACAGAGTCCATGGTGAACTTGTAACTATGATAGAAAAAAAATGCTAGTTTGACTTTTTTAAAACTGATGTAATGATCAATTATTTCTCCGTGTGTCAAAGTTGATCCATTTAATAAAGTAAAGATAATGGAAAATTACTCTGAACATGTCCAGTAATCAAAATCCAAAGGTCAGATAAACACACACATACACACAGACACACACTTTAACAGGACAAACCTACTCATTGAAAGGTTTACCATATTTACAGTTGTAAGCAAAAATTTGGGCACCCCTGCACCCTCAGAAAAAAGTAAACTGTATTGCAGTTGTATTTTTTTAAGTTGTATTGAATCCACACATCTTGTCTCCAGGCCTTCTTGTCTCCAGGCTCTTACTAGGTTATGAAAAGGTACAAATAAATCCCAATTTCCCCAGAAAAACATATTTAAGGTAGACAATTGGAGAATACATTTACATTGTTTCTACCTTAATGAATGAAAAATATACTTGCACAGTATCTTTTTTTCTGACGGTGTTCTCAAAATGCATATTTCATTGATTTTTGAAGTAAAAAGAAGTAAACACATCCTCTGCAGCAAACTATTAAAAAATACAATTTTCTGCAAATATTAGTGCACAGCTACTTCATGATTATCTAGAAAACAGGAAAAAAATGAAATAATAATTATGGCATGTACAAAAGTTTGGACACTTGGACTTGCTAGGTTGATTTAGTAACGTCACCATTAGCAGATATCTCAGCTTGTAAATGCTTTTTGTAGCCAGCTAGGAGTCTTTCAGTTCTTGTTTAGGAAATTTTACCCACATTTTTTTCATGATGTTCAAAAGCTTCAGCTTCTTTCAGCTTGCATTTCCTATATCATGGAGGATTTTGAGACATGTTTTGGATCATTGTCCTGTTGTAGAAGTTTTTGTTCTGTTTCCAGAATTTGCTTCAATTTAGTAGAATTCATTCTTCAACATGTGCAATGTTTCCTGGGCCACTGCTTGCCACACTGACTGGACTTGTACCGTATTAGGTTTGTGTGTGAGTGGCTAAATACTTGTATGCGTGCACCTGAACTGAACCCTAAACTTGAGCAAGAGAGTATTGTTCATCTCTTTTAGTTTTTCGAAGGAAATGTCCCCACAATACAAAGACTTTCACCAAGCTCCTGAAAATAAAGTTTCCTAAATCGTCCTTGGTATAGATGTGTGGTTCAAAGGGGAAAAAGGCGTAAATTAGTATACAACCTTCGCATAATGTGGATGTTCTTTACACTTTAAAAAGGTTCTTCACACTCGCACATCTCACTCTTTACAGAACCATCCATTGAAAGGTTCTTTAGGGAACCAAAAGTACTTTTTCCTATGGTATTGTTTTTACCAACGCTTTCTGGCAACAATTTTACTTTCTGTCATCTTAATTTTTAGGATTGTTGAGTAAAACAGAGAACATATTTCAAACACCCACATCAGGGTGAAGGACAGTACTAAGGCTAAATATCTGGGGTTCTGGGATTTGTCAGCCCCACTGTGGTCTGTTCCCCTCCATTTATTGTCTTCCGATGTCTTCAGAAGACACCGTTTCACTATTTAGCCAACCGATGGTAAAAGCACCATTTCTGAAAAACGAAAATCCCCAACATTGAACAAACCATGACCTTAAAGGAATGGTTCAGCCAAAAAATAAATGTACACAGTTTTCCCCGTATTCCAAATGCAGTCCATCAGCCATGTTATGTGTCCTGAGTTTGCTTTTTTAATTTTGCAGTGGAGCACATAACAACAGCCTTTTGGAGCATGTAACAACCCTCCCTCCCTGCCACCCCCAGTAAAACCAAAATGCCTGCCCGTTTGATTAGTTCTGGCCACGGCTCTGGATTAAACGACCTTGAGCTTTGAAAACGTGCTATATAAAACATAAGAGGTGTATTATTATTACTTCCTTCTGTGTAAATGGCCTGAATTGTTCCAGGTTCCTATGTTTTGGCTAATCTGGCCATTCCTATCCAGGACTCAAGACCTTCTAACTGTGAGTACTCTGGATATGAAGTACTGCCCCCTAATGCCAGAACAAAAAAAGCTCTAGTGGAAAATTTTTAATTAGGTCAGTTTTCTTGAAGTAAAGGTGGACAATGTGGAAAAAGTATAACATCACAATACTTGGAGGCATTTTTAACAGCACATGAACGATACGCGATTTTTTTTTCTGAGGTTTTCATTTGTAAAAATACACTATTTAAGAAGGAACAGGAAGAAAAAAATTTAAATGGTGATACAAATTAATAAAATCATAATGGAATAATGGCATAATAGACTGTTAGCTAAGAGGTATGACAACACTTGAACATCACATTCATAAGTACTTCTGGAACATCTCAATAAAAACCATGGGCATTAATAAAGAGTTGGTCCCATCTTTGCTGGAATAACAGCTTTCACTCTTTGTGGGGATTTGCTTCCATTCCATACAGTCAGCATTAGAGTATCATCCATTTTTTCAGCCCAAATATCCGATCAGCAATCTACCGATATTTCTCTACCGTAGCCGATTCTGAGAGCTGATCAGTGATGTAAAACGTATGAGCCATATTTCACCTCAGGTGCCAGAATTAAATTGCTGCGTCATTTAAGGTGTAACAGGGAACTTCAAATAAGAAGCTGGCAAACAGGCAGCCAACTTCAGCCTTTCATATCTTTTTCACCAATGAAAAACATTTTTCCTTAAGTATTCTACATATTAGGCTCCTATTTTGCTGCACACTCACTGTGCAAACATGTACAGCTGTAATTAACGCGGTTTACTGTCAAAGCTTTGAGGATTTGTTTCTGTTAGCACGTTAGCATCCGAGCATTAATCTTAGCTTAGCTTACACTGCACTAGCTTCATGATCTATGGCTTTGGCAGTGGCTAAAAATAAAAAACTACACTACAAAGAACTACAAAAGTGATCGTATGTCAGCCCTTTCAGCCTTTCCAGTACATTTGAAAACCCAGCCGTAAAGCAGAAAGACCGTTTTGCCCTGTTAGCTGTGCTGTAGTGCAACTGTAGTGCAACCACAGCGGTAATGCAGTGAAAAAACAACAGATTGCTCACAAAATCATTTCAAGAGCCATGCAGGTATAGGATCTAGCCTTGGGCTGGAATTGCCTCAATTAAATTGATATGAATTCCATTGATCTAAAGGATTTAAGTATAATATAACTGACTTACTGTAAGGATGGCTTTGATGGACATAGCAGAAAGTGGTCCAGATAAACCAAGCATCACACATGGACCTAAATTACTGCTGCTGGTGGTAACAGCACTTGATAAAAGAATAGAAAATCCTGTGACTCAAAACTCACTTATAGAAGGTAATGATCAGTGGTTTCAAAATGTTTCTGTTCTTTTCTAAGTACAAAGAAATGCACTGAAATATATGACTATGGTAACCAGCCATACTTTACAGATGCACTACCGAAACGATGGACAATTCCTTTAACTCTCAGAAGAGATTAGCAGCAGCATGCTGCAAAGACGTCACAGCCAGCCCGTGCACGCAGTGTTGGATTGTGAGACCTCAAAATGGTCTGCAGTTGGCCTGTGTGTATTGCGAAAGCACTCAGTAGGAAGCCCAGAGATGCATTGTTGTACTAAATGACTGTTATTACTTCTTCCAGTTCACATTTCTGCCTGATGTTCTCCTGAGACAGCTGCTCCCTCTGCTGGCTGAAAGACTCTTAACTGTCCAAAATTGCTACCTTGTCTCATCAATTTTTGAAAAAAACATTGTGGCAGCAATTTCAGTATTTTGTGGAATCATCATAATTATCAAAAGGTCACAATTTATACCACAGTTAAGCTCTAACATGCAATTTGATTGGTTGAAAAGTATCCTGTCCATGTTATTAAATCTGATGATACCATGCTTTTTTCACCATAGTTCTATCACTACTCACCACCAGTTGCTAAGCAACAACAGTGATTGCTTTATTCTAAACTGCTGGAGCTACTTTTTGTCAGAAGAAACTGCCAATATTAATGACATATATTTGAAACAATATAGATGGTTTCTTACGTTTATTATTTTCTTTTCTCTGAAAAATTGCTGTTTAAGCTTATTAATTCTTTTTTCTGGTCATATTAAGCACAATGCATCAAATATTCTCATTTAAAAGACAAAACTGTTGTTGTTCCTTAAATGTACATCAGAATGTAGACACTTTTGCCTGTCTCTAATTTGTCTTCTGATTTTTTTTATTGCATCACGATGCACCTTTGGGCAGTGATAAGTAATATTAACCAGTAATATCATGGTTCACCTCCACTTCCCACCACCCCACTTGTCATCATTGAAATGCTCCGAGACCCTCAGAGAATTTGTGATGAGGTAATGCCTTCCATGCTGGTCAGCGTTCCTGGGAGAGTGTAAAATGAAAGGGTTCTTATGGAACTTTGAGCAAAATGGTAATTTGTAAATGCTTGTTTTTAGATGTGAAGCACCTCATGAACCTGGCTTGTGACTCACTCAGTCACTCATGTTTAACAAGATTGTCCACAAGGGGGAGAACAGTTATTCTACTAACTAGAGTGAAAGTAACCTTGTGTTAGCTGAGTCTACTGAGCATTGTGAACATGCGAGAAGTGTGTGCTTTCTAGGACTTAATGGGCTACTACAATGACAAAAGCCATCCAAATTCTCTTCAGAACAAAAGAAAAACGACATGCCGTTACTTCGCATCAGTGACACATTGTGTCCCTGTTGTAAAGAAAGATGTAGTTACCTGATTTCTAACCATGCCTCCCTCACATGCATTTATGATGTCAGTGAGAGTGCCAATGAGCTGAGCAGCTCAGCAACCTATCAGCACTCAGTAGCAGTGATGGTAGTGTCCAATAGCCCAAAACCTGGAAAGATACAGATAGAATATCTTTGAGTGTTTAATAGAATTCTTCTGCTTTCCAAAATTAAATGTTTAATTTTTCATTTTTAGCTCCATTCACCCTCTTTACTGAAGAATCACTTGCCCTCTGCTGTTTTCCTGCCATTTTCCTGGTATCCACGTTATTTCTGCACCCCATGATGCTTTTGTGGTCTATGGGCAGAACTTCATGTTACATATGTTAAATGCTAATAACATCTTAACATGATAGAAATGTGGGAATAA